TGTAAAAGCGATGGAGGAGTGAATACTTTGCCTTCTCATACTGGAACCAGATACCCTTTTTACTGGTAACAAGGCATTCCATCTTAGTCTTCAATGTCACCCTTGTATTAACACAAAATTTGCATTATGAGTCTTAATAGATAATGAATATAGATGCCTATGGGCCTAAGTATTTATTTACCATCAAATAGACTATGTGGATCCTTACTTGTAAAAAAAACATGTCTATAGTCGAAATGATTAAAAAGCTGAAGCACAAATAGCCGACGATATATCTCGTAAAACCGAAAACCAATAGAGAAGAAAGGTTTTCAAATAACTTCGAATTTTTTTTATCGTATAAATATTTATTTTATACCTCACTTGTAATATATTAGCCAGCACATATGCATGGGAACCGCCAATATTTATAATTTAATATTAAATATTATAAGCCGGCCGTGCTCTGAATCCATTAACTCCATAATAATTACCCACAAAGCCAATCCCCTGTCACATATTATTACCTGCGCTTGATCTATGGCATTCGATTATTATATTTCCATTATTAAAGTATTCTTGAATTGTAATCATTTGTATAAGTGGTTGCTGCGGCCCATAGACATCTACATCTATCCTCTGTTACAAATCAAAATGTAGATGCGTTGTCACCTGTGAGGACTATGATGGAATGCCTCATTTCCAGTAAAAAGGGCCTCCGGCCACCTGCACTCACCAAACGAAACGCAGAGGTAAACCTCTACTTCACGCTGGTTTTCTGTAAGGTCGTCGTACTACCCCGGTTCGAGCCGGCCCATCCGTGCGACAGCAAAAGCTGCCGCGTGGCTCTACTACTGTTAAAGTAAAAAAAAAATATAGTATAGGTGTTTTAATATTTTACGTCAAAATAAAAAATAAAAATTATAGAATAAGGGTGACCCACAGTCCACCTGACCGTGAATATTACCGTCACCTAAATCCGACCTCAATAATTTTTCAGCATTTAATTAGCACTTAATCCTTGCTAGTATTATTAAATTATCGTATATCTATTATCGCCACTACATTGCTAGCGATACTTTTTGCCAGGAACGCAAATTTCAACAGTTCATTTTTAAACTTGGCACTTAATTAGCACCTAAAAAGCCTCTAACTTTGGATTTTTCTAAATGCAAATTCCTGAATTTGCGTTGGTGGCGATACACAACTCTCAACGATACAGAAGAAAATCTTTGTATGGTGGTAACGTTTTCTTTTAAATAACATAATGTAGGCAATTGTGCTAAGAAGTTTCTAATTAAATCAGAGTATATAAAGCGAAAGTCGTTCGTCCGCGGCGAAGCCATCGATCCTCATTTCAAGGAGGGACCGTATCAAATGGCCGCCAGTTTATTTAATGCGCCTCGAACTTGTTCCAAGATTGACCAAGCCACAAATGGCGCTACGGGGCGAGTTCGGGCCTCTGATTGATGATCCCACTTAAAGGGGAAAGCAAGGAAAGTTGAGGATATGGTGAAGTTTTTACAACCTTTTTATCTTGTAAAAATACTTTTCATCCAGAAGCTACGAACGGATATAAATGATGAATGATCAGATGCAGAAGAGAGCCAAATGGGCAATTTATAACCTAGGTCCAAAGGAATCTCTTAGAATTATTATTATTATTAATGAAATAAATATATTAACTAAGGCCTTTCAGTATATTTACGAAAATTTACTGTATGTACGCAAGAAAAAAAAAAACTTAAAACAGTATATTAAATATAGTGATGTACATTATGTAAATACTAAGAACAAACCTACGCTAGTTATACCAATTACTCAACTCCAAGGAGTCAGTGATTCCTTCATGGAGCACTGTATACGCTTTATAACAAAGTTCTAGAAAATATGCAGGATATCAAAAAGTTTTAATTTTTTACTAAGCAACAATTGTTTAGTGAGGGTTATCTCACAACTAAACAGTTCATGATTGGTAATAAGCCCTGGGAACGAGGTGATGGCTACCATACTGTTTCTAAATGTTTTCATACTTAATTATATAAAATAAAGGATTAACTATGTATTAACTAAGTAATATATTAATTGCCTTGTTGGTCTAGTGGTTGTAGTAGAGCGACTACTGATCATGAGGTCCCGGGTTGGAATCCCGGGTCGGGCCTAAAATTCAGTTATTGAGCTTTTCCATCAAGAAATTCTCAGAAGCTGCCCGGAGTCAGGAAATTAGCGGTGTCTCACCCCCGTGACTCGGAAAGCACGTAAAGCCGTTGGTCTTGCGCCTGATCTCTCTCCGGTCGTGTCGGTTTACCGTCCCGTCGGACTATGAGAGTGAGGGAATAGAGTGCACCTGTGCTTGCGCATACACTTGGGCACTATAATCCTGTCTTGCGCCGATGGCTAGCCTCGGTTGAGACTGGCCGCTGTGACTGAAATTCGGTCTGGAGGACATTATTATATAAAATATTAAATTGTAAATTAATGTTTAAAAAAAGTCCCGCTGGGTTTCTTGCTTGTTCTTCCCACGAGAGAAGTTTTTGAACCAGTGGTAAAACTTAAATGACTTTCTAAAAGTTTTCATGTAACCAATATAAAATAAAAATGATCTAATATTCTATTCTATTCCTCATTGAAGAGGTTCGTGTCTAGTATTGAAATGTAACGAGCTAATGTAAGAAGACGTAAGCATTATTACGTAGTATTTTGAAAAGCGCCTTACAATAAAATAAAGGCAAGAGGCAGGATAGCAATTGCTATGCCATGGTTACTATAAGGCACTAACGTCCATGTACAAAAGTCCACAAGGTTTATTTAGCATAATTTAGCATACATTTAGCGTATATTTTACTCATTTCACTCCCTTGCAAAAGAAAAGAGAATCCGTCCGAATACAATCTGGGCGTCTTCAAAGCTAGGTATGGCATTGTTCAAGAAGTCTCTAAGCCCTTTTTTTCTTCTTTGGAATTTTTGCACATAAAGTTTTTATTTTGGTCATTGAAACGATACTGTTAAAAGTTTAAAATACGAATGATTGTCAAAGAATAACGTTTAGGGAATTCTTTAAAAATAACGTCTGATAATTTAAAATATCTAATGTTAATGCAAGAAAAGCACTAAACATACGGTTGGACTTACAATGACAACAATTTTCATTATTATTGACCAATCTAATATTAGTAAAATAGCTCAATGACAGAAAGCAAAACTTTTATTCTTGTCGGTAAGTAAAATTTTACTTAACTCTAAAACATTTTTTTTATAATAATAAAAAAGAAACTAAAACTAGAAACTTAATTATCATATAGTCCTATTTTTTTATAGTCTAGTTTTTTTATTCTATAGATACTTCATAATATAAGCTATTCGGACTCATTCCCTTCATCTTCAGCCGCATGATCACCGTAACATTCAGTTATTTCTATAATATTTGTATAATCTTTCTCTCAAATAATTTAATTAGAAAAAAAAATATAAGGACTACATGATGTTTGAACATAGAGATTTGTTAAAATCAAATCACAGGACTAAGAGTTTATGGTGTTTAAAAAAACAGTACATAGGGATGTGTTAGAAACTAAACAAATGGGCTGTGTTGCTAGTGCATAACATTTATTTTATTGTTTATTCATGACGGTCACGGGTGACTAGGACATTTGGCATCCTGATGTCATAGTTTATCCAGGCTATCTTCAGATTTTAAATATTAGTTTTCAGTCCGATCTACGCAAAACTAGCTAACAGGATTTTTAAGTCTTGTTACTTAAGGGTTTGGGTTCTAAAACTAAAAATTATCTTAAATTTAAATAATGCTGCATTATAAGATCCTTATGGAGGCGAAGCGGCAAGTAAAAACAATAATTGATAAAAGAAAAAAATAATATATTTTTTTATAGATTGGCTGTACCACGATTAATCTGAATTAGTTACTTGTCTAGTGATAAGGTTGGGAATATTTTATATCGCTGTTGGAGTGGTATTTAATTATTACTGGGCAATCTCTAATGAATGTGCGCATTAGTGTAATGAGCATCGATATAATTGCAACATTAATAATGCAAATTAATTTTAAACAAAGCAAATGGCAAAGTGAAACCTTTATTTACCTTACATACATTAATTATTAACACACACATACTCCGACTCCGCGTCGGGTAAAAAGTTTTAAGATGCACACACACCTAATAACCATGTAATGCCATGAGTCGACATTAGGCTTTAAATAGCGTGCTTGTGTACATCGATATTCCCACGACAGCGTTTGATCGCTCACCTAGACTGGTACCCACTTCACGCCGGCGGGAAGAACTAAGCAACCACGTTCTACAATATTACGAATGATTTACGAGGCTGTACCGAGAACTAACATAGCTTTGCAAATATCGCTTGGAAAATATTCAAAGGTGATAAAAGCGTCAACTATATATTTAAGTCATTCATACAAGATTTGCAATCAAATAAATTTTTAGAATCCTCCCAGGAATAAGGCCGTAGCTTTATGTTTTACTATTTTTATATTTAACTAGCTGTGCCCTGCGACTTCGCCCGCGTGGAATTTACTACGATTTCATGGATATCAATTTTTTGCGCGGAATCCTAATTTTGGGTTTGAGTAATGTTACCATCTTACGGTATGGTATTAAAGTTCAAATTGATTTTTAAGTATTATTACGAATCTTTTGTATGGGAATATATAAAAGTGTTGTTTTTAGACTTTTTCAGGCAATTTAACTTTTTCTCTCCGTAAGAACCATTTGCGTACTTCAAGGAATATTATAAAAAAAGAATTAGGTTCAGCTGCTCTCGAGATTTGCGCTTAGCAACACATACAGCGATTCATTTTTATATTATACATACATACATACATATAATCACGCCTCTTTCCCGTAGGGGTAGGCAGAGACCACTTCTTTCCACTTGCTACGATCCTTACATACTTGTTTCGCTTCGTCCACTTTCATTATTCCCTTCATACATGCTCTACGGTTTAGGGTTATTGGGTCAGTGAATCGAAACGAAAAATTGTTAGAACTATGAAAAAAAAAACTTTATTACTTATAAACACAGGTTATTAGATGATTTACTTACGTATGAACATTTATTTTACAATGGCGGACAAATTGCAAACTTAACAACGCTGACAGTTGCCGTACTTCACGATGGTATAGTAACATACCTAGTTATACATGTATTATATATATAGTTACACATACGAGGGTGGATTGAAAAGTACTCGGCCTAACACAGATCCATTCAATTCTAAAAATCAAATCTACCCACATTATTTAGTTCAGTTCAGTGTGCCTAGTGCGAGTTGTTGTTTTTACGCACTCGATACCGAGAAAGTTAACTACAATTTGTATGGAATATCTTCGATCATTCGAGACGTAAAACTTTACGCGGTCGTTATCGAAAAAGTATTCACCTAAATTTTTACAGTGAGATAGAAGAGTGAGAATAATTGATGAAGAGTTAATTTTATTTCGTTTTGTGAGAAGGATATATAATTTAGGCAGGACGTTATTTTTTCGTTAGGAGGATGTTTGCAGCCACAAAGGCATTAATAACTAATAATAATAGATGACTACTATTATAAAGCCAGTGTTGAAGCAAGAGCTTGTGCATATTTTAGTCCGTTGTTACACCCCAATGACTAATATTATAGATAATTTAAGGATAGATATCGCCTTTTCTAAGAAAGTATTCAAGTTTTTGTGTAAATAGCGTTTGATAAATCCAAGTTCCTACCATCACTATTTAATAATTAAGTCAGTAATAAGTAAGTATCATAAGTTCACTTAACACCATAAAATCATTTAGAATGAAAACATCTTCATGTTTTTTGCTTTCAATTTAATACTTTCAATAATTAACATTAAAATAAAATGACTAATTCTCAATCTCATAAAACTAACACAAACTGTCGAAACCTTGATCAAATTCCGAAACATAAACAAATAGCTAATAATGAATTGTGATTCCGATTATTGCCACTAGTTGGCGCTGATTTTATTCTATACAAATCGTAGTTAACGTTCTCGATATCGAACGCGTAAAAACAAAAACTCGCACTAGGCACACAGACTAGTTCATTGTGTGAAGTTCGAAACGTGTGCGATAATTAGTTGTGATTTTATAAATTTATTAACAAAGTAATCGGACATAATTTCCGCGAATGGAGCAAATCGAGCAGCGTGCCGTCATTAAGTACCTCCATAAGAAGGGGCTATCATCAAAAGCCATCCATGATGACATGGTCAGTACATTAGGCGATTGTGCTCTGTCATATTCATCCGTCAAAAAATGGATAGCAGAATTTAAGCGTGGTAGAGAGAGTGTGAAAGATGAACCCCGCTCTGGAAGGCCTTCGACGTCAACTAATGACGAAAATATTAAAAAAAAAGTACTTGATTTAATAATGGGAGACCGCAGATTAAAAATTAGAGAGATAGCCGAGATTATAGGCATCTCTTATGAACGAACTCAAAACATCATTGTCAACGAGTTGGGTTTCCACAAGGTGTCTGCGAGGTGGGTTCCGCGACTGCTTTCAGTTGAACAAAAAAGGACGCGATTGACTATTTCACGCGACTGTTTGGAGTTATTTGAAGCCCATGCAGATGATTTTTTGAATCGTTTTGTTACTATGGACGAAACATTGGTTCATTACTGTACACCGGAAACAAAACAACAATCAAAACAGTGGAGAAGACTTGGTTCACCACCCCCTAAAAAGGCTAAGTCGATTTTGTCGACAAATAAGGTGATGGCTTCAGTATTCTGGGACTCGAAAGGTGTGATTATGATTGATTATCTTCAAAGGGGTCAGAATATAAATTCTGATTACTACTGCACCTTACTACGTCGTTTACGAGAGGAAATAAAAGAAAAACGTCGAGGAATGCTCAGAAGAAAAGTCCTGTTTCATCAAGATAACACCCGTGTTCACACGTCAGTGCAGTCAATGGCTGAAATTCACAACTGTGGCTTTGAACTGTTATCGCATTCGCCGTATTCACCTGATCTGGCACCATCAGACTTCTTTCTGTTCCCTAACCTAAAAAAGCACTTGGGAGGTCAAAGATTTTCGACAAACGACGAGGTCAAAGCAGCTGTAGACGCATATTTTGACTCTAAGGAAGAATCATTTTTCTCAACGGTCTAAATGCTTGGAAGGGCAGGTGGCAAAAGTGTATTGAACTTGATGGTGATTATGTAGAAAAATAAAAATATAACTGATTTAGTATTTGTTTATTTTCTTGGTTAGGCCGAGTACTTTTCAATCCACCCTCGTATTTTTAAACGATCTCTTATACTACTTATATTGGCTCACGATCTTCGCGATTATTTCATCACTACAACACCTCCCCTCGAAGTCGTGAGCAATAAAACTCTGGACACTTACATACCCATCATTCCTAAATTGCGCAAACATTCATGATGTTTTGGTCCACTCAAACCTTTGGTCAAAACATCTGCTGGCATTCTTTCTGTACATAAATATCTGAGTTCAATAAGACCTTCTTCACACATATCTCGTACAAAGTGGTGCCTAACATCAATATGTTTTGTTCGGGACCGATAACTTCTATTTTGAATTAATTTAATCGCACCCTGATTGTCATTAAATAATGTCACACACTCGCATTCAATACCTATATTATTAAAAATGTTTGATAAATACAAAGCCTCCCTTGTAGCTTCAGATATAGCTACATATTCGGCTTCTGTACTTGAAAGTGCCACCACTCGTTGCTTTCGTGCCTCCCAACTAATAGGAGCACCTGCAAAAATAAAAGCAAAACCAGAATATGACTTTCGATCTACACTATTCGCTGCCCAATCGGCATCCACAACACTAAACAATGACAAACCTGTCCTCTCATACACTAAACCGTAGTTAGGAATGCCTTTCAAATATCGCAATACACGTTTTGCTGCCTTCCAGTGCTCAACATTATAATTAGTATTAAATTGGCTTAAGTAGTTAACGCTGTAAGTGACATCAGGCCTAGTTGATACTGCTAAAAACATCAAAGCACCTACCAAGCTTTGATACGGATACTGCTTCATTACACTCTCATTCACACTCTCAGGCTTCATTAATTTTACATTAACATCGATAGGTGTTAATGCTGGTTTGCATTCACACATGCCAAAGCGTTCCAACAGTCTTTCAATATACACACTCTGTTCCATATACACTCTATCCTCATTATCACGTGAAAACTGTATACCTAAACAATCAGAAATTTTTCCCATATCTTTCATTTCAAATTTATTTGACAGTTTATTTTTAACATTATTTAACCATACATTATCATTTGTAGCTAAAATAAGATCATTGACATATATAGCAATCAACATTATGTGCTCATTCTTCCGCGCTACAAAAACACACTGATCTTGAGGTAATGCCTTAAAGCCTATACTTAACAACATTCGCACTAATTCTTTATGCCACTGTAGCCCTGACTGACGTAAACCATACAATGACTTCTTCAATAAACAAACACAATCATCACATTCGTTCATCATCTTACGCCAACGCTTAGCCGTCTCAGTTATTTTAGTGTCTAGAATAACACTTTCAGAAGAACCAATCTTTTTGTTTGAGAGTATTTTGTCTAAAACTGCGCTTAATTGTTCTGGTAAATTCATATAAACTTCTTCTTCAAGTCGACCATTCAAGTATGCAGTGACAACATCCATATGATGTATATCTAGTCCAAGCTCAGCTGAAATTGCTGCTAAAATTCTAATTGATGACGATTTTACGACAGGAGAATAAGTTTCATGAAAATCCTCCCCTGGCCGTTGTGAGCAGCCTTTTGCGACAAGACGTACTTTCATCTGCCTTTGCTTATTATAATTTTTGGTACTGAATACAAATCGACTCCCAATTACTTTTCGATCATGAGGTCTAAGCACTATTTCCCATGTGTCATTTTTAATTTGAGCTAAAAATTCATTTTCCAAGGCTTTTCTCCATTAGTTTACATCATCTGTCTTTTCGGCTTCATTCCATGTCATTGGCTCTATTGTTGCAATCCCTGCAAATTGGATTTCTTCCGATTCCGTGTTCTCATAAATGTGGTCTCCATCATCAAAAGGTGTTGTTGGTTTTGTTATAACACGAACTAATCTCGAACGTCTTTGATCTCCTTTAGAAGGTTTTATCAATCTTTCCCATGATACAGTGGCTTTTCTTTCTCTTGGTGATCTTGTAATCGTTCTACTTCTCTCATCATCTTCATTATTTGAATTTTCCAACGGTTTTGTCATTTGTTCTATATTTTCTACAGGTTCATTTAAATCTGATATTATTTTATCCTGTTCCACCCCTTGTTCTTTATTGAGTATGTCCTCATATTCATGTCTAAAAGCTGTTTTATTCAGGATTTTGACATTCCTACTCAAAATTATTTTCTTGTTTCTTGGGTTATGAATTCTATAAGCTTTTGATTGTGTATCGTATCCCATAAAAATGCCTACTTCTGAAGTTGAATCAAATTTTCCCCTTTGTTTACCTTTCTCTTTATAATAAACTTTAGATCCGAACACTTGCATATATATAACTGTAGGTTTATTTCCTTTCCATATAGTAAATGGTATCTCCCCATTAATAGCTCTCGTTGGACATCTATTTCGTATATAGTTAGCGGTATTAACAGCTTCTGCCCAAAATGACGGCGGACATCCGGCTTGGCGCATCATACATCGTGCCATTTCTATTAAAGTCCTATTCTTTCTTTCAGCAACGCCATTTTGTTGGGGTGTATGTGGTACTGATAATCTCCGTGTGATGCCATTTGTCTTCAGAAAATTATTAAATTCATTGTTTACATATTCACATCCATTATCTGATTGAAGACACTTTATTTTCTTTCCAGTAAAATTTTCAACTTCGGCTTTATAATTTTTGAATATATTAAATACATCACTTTTATTGCGAATAAAATAGACTTCACAACAGCGTGATTTATCGTCAATAAATGTAACAAAATATCTTTTTCCAGCAAATGATTGGTGTCTCATCGGACCACATACATCTGTATGTACAATTTCTAATAGTTCACTTGTACGATTGTTGAAGCCCTTAGGAAAAGGTTTACAAGTTTGCTTCTCACTCATACAAATCTCACACTCTGACAATTTTTCGTTGTCCTTAATGTTTAATCCATGGACTAAATTTTTTTTCGCCATGATTTTTAGGTCACGTTCATTAAGATGACCTAAACGCTCGTGCCATAAATCTATTGATTTTTTTACAGCTTCAACATTACTCACACTGCTTTGACATAATCGCACATGGTATAAGTTGCCAATTCGATCAGCTCGCATATGAATTTTATTTTCTTCGTCAATCACGATTGCGTCACTCTTCCTGAATCGTACCTCGAAACCATGATCTGTTATTTTAGCCACCGACAGTAAATTTGTGCGTAAATCCGATACATAAAAAACGTTGTCGATGTCAACTCGGCGCTCTCGCTTAATGTGGACACAGGCAGCGGCCTGTGTCCATATTAATGCTCACCTTACCTTTTCCAGCAATTCGTGAGCTCTCATTATTGGCCAAATTTAATTCACTGTCTACATACGTAAATCCCTTTAATTTTTGCTTCTCATTGCACATATGTCCTGTGCACCCGCTGTCGATGCACCACACATGACTTTTATGTTCACCTGACATCACTTCTTCAGTGGTACTAAGCATTGTATTAATACTACCTGTGTGTTTCTGTTCACTAGTTTTTCGTTCTAACTGTTGCGCACTTTGTTTTGTTTTCTTTATGTACTTACTTCTACATTCCTTCGCATAATGCCCATAGCGACCGCAACGATAACATTCACTTTTATTTTTGTTTTTAGTTACGTACGTTTCGCCTTTCTTATAAGTATGCACCTTGTTACGCTTCACAAACAATGCCCCTTGATCAGACTCCTTCGATTTTCTGCCTTCATAATCCTCAATAATTTTAACTTTTAATATTTCTGTAGATGGTAAATCATCCCGTGACTCCATAGCCGTACGAAACATTGTAAAGGATTCGGGTAAACTGTACAATAATAATATAGCAAGCAGTTCATCAATAACTACGAGACCAATTTCTTTTAATTTTTTGACAGCATCGAAAAAATCTGCTATGTGTTTACGCAAGTCATCTTCTTCTTGCATACGAGTCAGGACAAGTTTCTTTAATAAAGATGCTTTCCGTGCCGGTCCACTAGACTGGTACATTGATTTTAATTTGTCCCATATAGGTTTAGAAGTATCTAATCCATCCAGTGCTATTAACTCGCTCGGGCTAACAGCTAACAAAATGTCCGACTCGGCTTTACCGTCCATTTTACACCACTCGGCAAACTTGGCGTCAGTTTTCGCAGGCTTCGGTATCGCGCCCGACACATAATCCCACAGGTCATTTTTCTTCAAAATAGCCCGCATATGGATCTTCCATGTATCATAATTATCACCAGTAAGTTGGTCGATTTTAACCGAAGCAGCCATAATAAAGTTAATTAATCTTCTTCAATAATGCAAATAAAATAACGATAGGTTATATACATACATTCGGTACGTAAGTATATAATACGATCATCTCGTAAACGTCGTAACTATCTATTCACTTATGACGCCAAACTGTTATATGTATGCACCAATTACGCTTCTTTGTTTAAGACGCATATTCTTTAATATTATTATAAGTTCAACACAGTTTATATGTCACTTTTTGTCTTTTTAACACTATTTCCTGGGCCCATAACCTATTGGGTCAGTGAATCGAAACCAAAAATTGTTAGAACTATGAAAAAAAACTTTATTACTTATAAACACAGGTTATTAGATGATTTACGTATGAACATTTATTTTACAATGGCGGACAAATTGCAAACTTAACAACGCTGACAGTTGCCGTACTTCACGATGGTATAGTAACGTACCTAGTTATACATGTATACACATATTTTTAAACGATCTCTTATACTACTTATATTGGCTCACGATCTTCGCGATTATTTCATCACTACAACAAGGGTACTCTTGACCTGGCCTTTTTTCAAGACGTCCCTGATTTGGTCTAGAAATGTCCGCCTAGGTCTACCCCTTCCAACATTTTCATTCACACTCGCCTTATACACTTTTTTCGTCAATCGTTCTTTATTCATTCTCTCGACATGGCCAAACCATCTCAGCATACCTTTCTCAATTTTTGTCACTACATCTTCTTTCAGACCACAACGTTTCCTTATCTCACTATTTCTTATCTTGTCACTCAGTTTAACTCCTATTATACTTCTTAATGCTCTCATCTCAACTGCATTTATATATATACTTTTATATTATAGACTAGCTGTTTCGCGCAACTTCGTCCGCGTATTACGATTTGATTTCATGAGTTTTAATTACTACTTTGCGCGGAACCCTAATTCTAGAAATTCTTTTCCTAAAATAAAAGTAGCTTAAGTTTAAATTCCTCAAAACATCACCTGTGTAGTAATGAAAGTCACGTCGAAATCGGTCCAGCCATTTCAGAGATTAGCCGGAACAAACAGACAAACAGACTGAAAGACAATTTTAAAACTGTTTTTTTTGTCATAAGTACCGTATATACTTTCATATGCATTTATTAAGTTTTCTTAGAGTTGTTAACGGAGTATTAGTAAAGTTAATTACTAGTATTCTTTAAAAAAAAAAGGCTCTAACTAGAAAACCTTTTACAAACACAACAGTCCGACTCTTGATTCGCGAAGAACGAAAAATCACTACTCATTTACGTCGTTGAAATGCTAAAAACAAAGATCGTTTGATCGTAGCGCCGTCGGTCATCCAACCGGACATCACATTGATTGGAGCCCCTTCATTTGTGGAGCTCAAAGGGAATAAATGGGTGAATTCGATACAGCAGGGGTTCCCAAAGCGTGTGCCGTAGGCAGTAAGGAGGGGTGCTGTGAGACGCTCCTGTTTAACATTCTTCGGAAACAAAAGTTATGTATTCGCGGTTAAAAATAAACCGGATTTTCAGCAGTAGCTGTAATAAAGAGTAAATATCGCTCTAAGATCAATTTGCAGCAAAAAATGAAAGTCAGTGGTGTCAAGCCTTATTCCATGCTCTGAAAAAATGTGTGGAGATAACCAAGCTCACACGTCATATTGACTAAGTTGCCAGTGTTTTATTCCATACTAGCTGTTTAATTTATTGCGGTTGGATTTCATGAGTATTGATTTTTTTGCGCGCAACCCTAATTGTTTTTCTAAAATAAAGTATTCGTATATATTATGTAGTAGAAGCCTGAATATTCATTACAGTATCAGCTATCTGCCAGGGAAAGCCCGGTCAAAATCGGTCCAGCCATTTCGCAGAAACAAACAGGCAGAAAGACAGATAAAAATTTAAAAAATTGTTTGTTGTTATAACTATCGTATATACTTGCATATGCATTTAGTTAAAAAGCTGTAATTGTGACATTACAAACAGACACTTCAATTTTATTTAATTGTATAGATGTATAGATTTATAAAAAAAAATCTACCTAATATCATTGTACCCTATTTCGCCTAGCTAGGGCGTCGCGCCGACACAAAACACTAACTACTAAACTAAACCTGTTAAAAAAAGTTTGAAAATGTTTGAGAGCCCCTGCGATACGGCATTAATCAGGTGTTCTACGCTATCAGAGCAACAAGCACTCCCTCAATGATTGAGAGTATGCAAGTTCACTAAACGTCGGATGGTGAATACGATTTGAATATTCTGTATTTTCGCAATACATGTGACCGTGTTGTAGTGCTACTCGTATCGCCCGAACGCATCTTTAATTTCGTTCAACTTTTAATTCAAATCAAACCTTTTAAATAAAACTAGTTTTATTTAAATGTGCAGTGTTCACGTTAACGTAAGAAATAATTAAATCAAACTTATTTTTTTAAATACGAATTTTATTTAATAAAAATAACAAACCAGATTTAATGAAAGTGGGTAGCATTATGAAACAGAAACAGTAACTTTTATCAATAAATATTATACATCAAAAGTCGTTGCTGCTGGTCATAAGAGGACTGGCTCTTTTCTCGCTCAAATGCTAAGTATACATTCCAGCGTTCTTGGCACGATACCGCGTGGAGTAGGACTGTTTGATAATTAAATTACTAGTTTTAGATTTTTTTACTATAGTTTTTACTTTCTTAGTATATAATACAATATTGTATATTATGTTATGTAAATAAATGTAATAATTTGTAAAAAAAATTTAATATACATTAATAATATCAATATTTAATTAAAAGTGGGATTGCGGGGCTTTGTCAAGTCAACATTAAAACCCAAGCTCTCAGCTTCGCGTTCGAGGTGTAAATGAATGTTTATAAACTGTAAAACGAAAATTACAGAAGAGGGCTTCTCTTTTATCTGTAAGAGTGTGGCTTCGTGCTACCCAAATGCGTGCTGGCGAATTCGATATATTTAAACCTCGCAGACAGGTTTCCTCACGATGTGAAATTATTTTATTCTTTTCAGTTCTTTGGAGTAGGTTTTTACATTTTTTTTTTCAAAAGTTACCATTTTAGAATTTGAGTTGCCAAATACATTACCTCGGTAAGACGAAATAGGGTGGTTACCTTTTCTCATCAACTTGGTCCCTGGACTTTCGACAGCTTCGTTCTTACCTGTAAATAAAGAAAATCCATTAAATAAAATCTTAGTTTCGTCTCCTGTCTTAGTTTCCCTCTGTCGCCTCTTACGACACCCACGGAACGATATTGATTAGTAGTTATTATAATAATAATAATGTCCTCTAGTCCGAATTTCGGACAAGGCGGCCAGTGTCAACGGAGACTAGCCATCTGCATAGAACAGAATAGTATGTATGTCCGCAAACACATACATACAAAGAAAAAAACACTTGAATTGATAACCTCCTTACTTTATTTTAAGTTGGCTAAAAATACACAATACAAATTAATATTTTATTGCAGATTCTTAGGCTGTGGTGGTGTCTAACCGAGCCATATGCTCATTTGCCCCCTCTTATACGCTCCATGTGCGTCACTAACATTTAATATACATTATATTAATGGTATCAATATTGAATATGCACATTAATGTAACATAATTACTCGTGATATCAACCTTAAGCACAAACATAATGGGCATCGAACAACTTGTCACAGTCGCATATAAAAAAAGACATTAATAAAAACGATGAACTACAACCACGACGACCGAAACATGAAGCTCATTGTAAGTAGATATTTGATAATTTTGTTCAGGATTCTGGAGATATAATATTAACTAAAATAGTCTGCTGTGCAGCGAATACAGGTATTGATCAAGTAATACCTATACCAAAGATGTTAAAATATATAATATAAATGTGTATATGTATACTATGTTGCAGCTATGTTAATTGTATAGTTGTAGCACGAATGGGTCGGCTTGACCGGGGAAGGACCACGCTCTCACAGAATACCAGCGTAAAATAGCAGCTTAATAGGGGTGACAACGCTTCTGCAATTCGATTCTTAATCGAGGGTAGATGTAGATATCTATGGGCCACTCACCATCACCATCAGGTGTGATTTGTCACTTTTATTCTATAAAAAAAAATTGAACTTCTTTGTCAATTATGTGTGAATTTTCTTGCAGTTGACAAAAAATAGCCAATCACCGGGACGCGCTACCGACGGCAACGCAGCCAAAAATACGGCCAAAGTAACAGCAAGGTGAACGCAGGAGAAGAAACAGGAGCGTTAGTGTGTGATTGTGTTGACACAATTATACTCAGCTTAGCCAATATTTATATTGTATACTTTACAGTAAACAAAACTGAGCATTCCCTTGTATACTTAAACGTGCCTTTACTACTACTGTGTTGTTGTCATTTTTTCTGTAACCACCTTATATATAACGTTATATATAACGTCGGAGGAGTGATATATCACTGTCCTAATGTTGACTGGCAGAGAATTCTTTAATAAGTAATATAAGTAAAAATAAATTTATTTATCAGTAATTTTTTTTTAATTAGTGGTTGTTATTTTACATTGTGTAAGGTTATATATAGAATAAATAAAAAAGTTGGCGTTGTAAAATTTGAATATAATATACATCTTAATATTAAAGAATTAATGTATCTTTGTTTGTACATAATAGGTATTATATATACAAGAATTTCATGCGATGGTATCGCGATTTTCTTAAAAGAGTAAGTTTTATAGTCTTATTTAAATAAATAAGAAAATTTAAAAAAAAAGTTGTAAAAATTCCAGAGTGAAACACATCTCGCCAACTATCAGATAGGGCAGAACAACGTCTACTGAGCGAGCTACAAGCTGAAAAATTACTTCCTTATATCACACAATGTAATAATAATAATATAACACATATTCACAAATCCCATAAATGTTTACTCATTTGGTTTTGAGCCACTGGACTGTACAAATAAAAAAGTTTCGTGCGTTTCAGTGTTCAAGTGACTCAGAGAACTGTTCATTACGGTTAACAATAGGCCATAAACCTTTAACAGCCTCCATAAGTCGGGTCACAAGGCTGGGCTACTCTCGGTTAAAAATTGCGTCATAAACGCTTCAACGCGCTTTTCATAAAGCTACTTTAGTATAAATATTAAACGGCAAAATATAATGCCGAGTGATGTAATGACATTTCTTTTGTAAGATCTAACAGCTTTCGACAGATAAAACAACTAATGAATTTTACAGTGAAGAAAATCTACGATAATTCTTATAACGTTATCCCATAGACCCACACTAGAAATTTCTATTTTATCGTGAAGGGATTTTACACACAAGTTGTACATAAAAAAAACACCCAGTACCCGGAACAAAATTATTTGTAGGGTGTACAAATAGCATAACGGGA